CTTGTACAAGCATCAAAAATGAAGCAGCAGACGCGTTTTTGCTGCTCCTGCTGCGTTTGGTGTGAACGCAGCTTTAGACTCTACAGTCTAAGTGACATTAATATAAACAGATAGATTGATTGGTTTTCACCTTTTTGCTGTATCACTGTTCTTTTAGGAGGCTCTGGGAAGGCCTAGCTAGAGCTGCTATACATCAATTTACTAATTTAATGTCAGCTAATCTCAGACCAATTAGAGCTATTGCTTTACAGCGAGGCGCCGCAGGACGATGGGCCTCTATTTAGTAGTTGCCATCTGCAGACTACCAGCAGATGGAACCATACTTATTCTGCTGCTCATATCCGGTGCTTGAATTCTATTTAGGCTCAAAAAGGACTATAATGACGTCAAGTTTATGTAAATTTATTTCATTCAAATCAAATGGTTTCTCTTCTTTTTTGTACGGGGATATATTATGTCTCAACAAAATCTTGTACCTTGGATATAACTATAACTTATATTTTGTTGTGCTGTACATTCTAGTTTTGGCATTGTAAAAAACAAATATTTTAGCCAATATTTAGGGCATAAATGCATTTTTAATACTAAAGAAAATATTATTCAAATATCATTTGATGAACATAGCATAGTTGAAAACAGTTAAAAATAAAATTTAGGGTTAAAAAGCATTTGCAGGTTTATTTTCAAAAAGGGGAAAGAATAAAACTAAATGTCTTTTATTGTTGTGTTGAATTTTAAAGGTGTAGTAGACAAGCTATTTTCTGGAAATATAGGTAAAAAATGACCCAATTGTTTGAATAACTGCTTGCTCTTCAGCTCCCCAGGTGGAATGACTATCAAGCATGTGTGAGTCCAGTTGGTCTGTCAACAACACTGTCTCCAAACACTCGAACACACAAACTTAGCTACAGTGGGGACTGTGGAGATCCGATGATCCCCGCAGAACTTAAAGCTGATCATCCACTATAACTTTAACCTTTTCTCTCTGTTTGTTCATAAATACATCTTACCAAATAAAAGCCAGTTGCACCTGGTGGTTTTTTGAGATTATCTATAAAAATTGAGGCCTGCCTCATATCCCATCCAATCCGTAATGACGTCTCTTTTCGGTGAAGCTCTCAACAGGAGGAATGGCCCCAAGTGTTTCTACCCTGTAAGCTTCAGCTCCGACACCCTGGTTTCCAATTTCTGGATCACTCGCTAGGTCAAACCAAGTGGATAAAGATGGCAGCCATTTATATCACTTCCAATGAATAACCTGCTGTTTTTAATCTAGACTCTTTCTTCATTTGCGTGCTGTCAATACCATGTGCAAAATGGCAGTAAATCATGTGACCAGAGAAGATGTCCCACTAATAAAACCCGTTTGAAAGCTGAAACCAACGTTGACCTTCTACAGGGGCTTTTACTGTCTGCAGTTCCAAAATAATTGCCCTGTCAAACGTCACTCAAGTTCACGTCCAGCTTAGCTGTCCTCCATTTCAGACAAGATGAAGAGACTTGCAGAGTCTGTTGGGTTAGTAAAATGGAGAGTCCTCTAAGCATGTGGTACAGGAAGTCCTCACGCACCCTGACTAGATGCAGGATGGCAGAGGCTGATGAGAGGTGAAGCAGAGTGCAGAGCCGCAGGGGCTGATCAGAACCGGCCCAGATTATGCTATATTATCCAAGCACTTCTAATGAAAGTGACCTTCTATGAATGCCACCGATTATGAGAAATGATCCTTTTTAAATGAAGTCTTCAATCACAGTCACAGATCCCCAGCTGACAGTTATTATGTAAAAAGCTGCCTTCATATAAGAAGAAGAGATCTTTTTTGATCATCATCACAAATATGGAAGTAAATAGTTCTTCTTAATTGACTCTATTTTAGCCTATTTCCACAACAAATTAGCAGAAGCACGACTAGCCAGATTAAAGCAGATTAAGCACCATTTGTAGAAGGTAATGAACATGTCACTGCGTCGGGTCAGGCGGAGTGATGGTCCTAAAGGCAAAGGGGACGGACTTTGCTTTCTGTTCTATAATCTCTGGGAGTTTTTCTCCACACTAATACAGACACTTTTAATTTTAGAGCACAGCATTAAGGGCAGAGTTTATGTGGTGCAAACCCATTTCTTGGTTGAATTTGGGTTTCCAGACATTTTCGACGCAAGAAAATAAAGCAGAGACGGGCGGAGGGTGATGCACAGAGGATTTTGTTTCACTTCGCCGTATCCTTGGGAAAGCAAGACAAATATAAATATAAAGAGCACAAACTGCAGCTTCAAAATTAGCAAATTTGCTTTTATCTGAAATCAAAGAGATTCCTACAAATGCATTAAACGCAACCTTTTGTTTTGTTTTCCCTTTTTTTTTGGTAATAATTTGTCAAACTGGGACCACAGCCAGCTTTTCCAGCAAAACGAAGGCTCTTGTTTTGAACAAATATAATTAGTTATTTTTAATGTTCTTGCTGCAATGCTGAAGCTAATTTGTATTTAGTAAAGAACAGTCCTTGATGAGCTATTCCCCCTGGCTGAGAGGCCCGCTTTGGATTCTGAACCAGCATAAAATCCTTGAATTAAAGAAAACTCAAGGGCCTTCTACTTTCCAGAGATTGGCGAAGGCTGGAGATGTTGAGATTAGAATAGATGTCTCAGTGGCATCAGGCGCTCCGTCCTAAGCAACAGAGTATTATTCCACTCCGCTGAGCTCTGTTCTATAAAAAATTATTGAACTCAATCCTTTTTTGTTGCTATTTTCTCCAAAATGAGTGTTTCTTTATTCCTGCAACCAAAATAAAAGGAATCTGCTTCTAATATTTTTTTTTCAGTGCACTGAAAGATTGTTGAAGGATGTTTTTATTTGAAAAAGGACATCCTTAAGTTGTCTCCATTGAACCAACGATAACTGGTGTGTACTGTATGTCTGTTACCATGTTTGAAAAACAAAGAAAGTGAACTGTTAAAAGGATAAATAAAGGCTGAAATATGACACACAGCATGTGAACCGTGACGATTTTAATAGGCAAATCCAGCAGAGGCCTAAAGCAGGACCAAAGAGATGCATCATCTGCCCGTTCATGACCTATTGTTAGAATACTAGTGAAACCCTGCGTTCCTTTCCTCTCCAGCTGGTAGATTGGTAATATGTCTGCTTATTGAGTAAATAAGGGCGGGAAAAGGCAATAAACGAATGCCAGGACAAATACCTAAAGAGCAGTTCTTATACTAGGATATTATCAAAAACACCTCAACCTGGACGCCGGTGCACTTTGAGGTCAGAACACTGACTGACGGAGAGCAGCTGCATTACATTCTATCAGCGTTATAAATAGATTTTTGTACTTTTATTGCTGTGTGGTGAAGATTGTTTCTGGTCCTTCATCCCCATGTAGCAGCTGCACTGCTGCTGAGAGGATGGCTCTGTGAAGGGCGGTTTAGGCTGCATGTAGAGGACTTTAAGCCCAGTCTCACCTTGACGATTTAGACCAGCGTGTGCCTGATGTACGAAAAATTTGGCAAAAACGCTGGCATACGTTGGATAAGTTATGGGTACGTTTTGTATAAGTTATGAGCACGCTGAAGCACGCTGAAACACGTCGAGTACGGCGGGAAATTTTGAGCATGCTCATATGCCAGCATTTTCAATAACTCTTCTGTGCAATATTCAATAACTCAGTGCAATACTTATTTATTGATGTTACTTCTTCAATAACTCAGTGCAATATATATGTATATATATACTCTTTACCCTGTATATAGCTAGCTCTTACTCATAGAAAAAACCTATTTATTGTGCAGGAATAGGTCTTGGACTGTGTTACACTGGTAGTCAAGTAATCAACATTTCGTTGTCAAGATTCACCTTGTGTTTTTTGTGCAATGACAATAAAGCAAGTCTAAGTCTATACTTGGGCCATAAGTAACATGTACGTTATATAATAGTTGACATATGTTAAGTGTACTGTAAGTTACTCATAAGTCATGGTGTCTAGCTTATTCATAACCTATGAGTAACTTGTGCATAACTTGACTTATCAAGAACTTATCTCCAACGTATATCAACGTATCTGACATGTTCCAGACATTGAATGTATTTCTAACTTACAGCTATTGTATAATGGCATATTAGCATCATTTTGGTATAAAAGAGGGTTCACAAGAGGAAACTGTTCTCCTCCAGACTTCCTCCCCATCATAGGATGAGTGAGAAAGTGAGTGTGATGGATTCTCCCTGCATTCACACCCACAACCACGACCAACAAAATTGCTAGTAGACATGATGCTAAATCTGCTGTCACTGCAAACCTTCCTTCTTTCTTTCTTTTTTTCCTTTTTATTCGTTTATTCTTTTTTTTTTGGGGCGGGTGGTAAACAGCTGCTAGGTCAATACCACAATCAAAGAAATCTTTTTATGCAGGCCTGGTGCTTCCAGGTGCATTGCTGCCCCCCTCAACCACTAGTTTGTAACATTTCATTGGCATTATGCTGCCGTGTGTTATGCATAAGTTAGGCTGTCGCTGGACATCCGCTCTGGACTCATTACGAATACTCTATGTATACGCCCAATATTGAATAAACATATAGAAAGTTGAGTGTATGCCAGCGTTTCAGGAGATTCTGGGTCATCAGGCTAAATCTGCAAGGTGTGACAGGGGCATTAGGGAACAGCCTTCCCTCCACCCATCCTTCATAGACTGTTTCAACCTCTTCCCTCACTCAGGCAACTGAGGAACATGCAGAGCAAGACCACAAGGCTCAGGAACAGTTTCTACCCTGAAGCTGATAGACCCCTGAACTCAGGTTGCATTTAATTCATCTGAACCTCTTTCTTCTCTTACATATCAAACTGATTGAACTGAGTCCAAAATTCATAGCAGAAACATTCCAATGTGAGATGGTAAGACAATAAAAAGTCCTTAAATATTACTTCATTGTTGCCAGTGCGTGAGTAGATTACCTCAATCTGACCAGTTCTATGGGAGGATTTGTGTTGCGCTCACTTAGAACCTTACCTTTGGGTGGGCATCTGGTCCAGAGGTATACGGAGCCAAGCTGGGGGGAACATCTGTGATGTAGGTCTTTCTGGGGCCTTGAGGTTGGTATGGTTGAGCTGGGACTGGATCTGGTCTCCTGGAGCCTCCTCCCCCGACCTGTGGTCCCCCAGGGTACTGCTGTATCTGATGAGCCGAGGGGGAGAAGCCCGGTTGTGGCGGTCCGTAAGCAAAGTCGGGACCTTTGGGCTGGGCCGGCATGTACTGCACCTGTGCTGGGCTGCGAATCGGCTGCTGGCCGTAGTGGTAGCCAGCGGGGGCCTGGTGCTGAGGGCTAGGTTGGGCGGACCGCACTTGGACATTGAAGGTGGGCTGACTGGGGGTCGATGCTGTGGTGTAGGAGGCTGGAACAGGCTGAGGAGCCATGTTGCTTTGAGGCTTGGCTACAGGGCTGACAGGGGGAGGTGGGACTCCCCCTTGAGGCTGAGGTTTGGGCATTGTCTTCTTGGTCGCAGTCAGAGGCGGCTGGTTGGGAATGACCATGCGCTTGTAACCCGTCACCGGGGCATTGGGGGTAGAGCCTGCGGAGGAGCCGGGATTCTGCAAAAGGGAAGAAACATCCCCATTTAAACCAAAAAAGTAACTTAGTCAACTTCAGTATATTTCTGTGTGAAACTTTTAACCTCGGCCCTTATTCCTTTCACTTTCTAAGTGCTTGAAGAGAAAGCAGCAGTTAATCACAGCTTTCTGTTCCAACTTGCCTCTATTCAAGCACTTAGGGTTACCATGACCTGGATGACTGACGGTGTGCTTTAAGAGATATTTCACGTTAGATGAACAAAACCTAGCTACAAAACAAAAGTAGTGACGGCAAATATCACCTTCCTGTTCACCAGCTTCCTATTGAGGATCATCACGAATTACAATAAACAGATCCACCCACAACCCATAATATTCACATTGGACCATTAAGGACCTAAAAAGATTGATGTTGTTTTTGGCTCAGTTGAAGGAAACATCTCATTCAATAAAGATTACAGCCCATCAGATGGGAGCTTTTAACCTCTTTTTTAAATAACCATTCTGTTTTGTTTTTGGCCTCAAAGCTTCGTTAGAGAACACCAGTGAACAAACGGCTTCATGAAGGCCGATGAACCCTGCAGACAGGTCAAAGAAGGAGCTCTGATTAATCCATCAACTCAAAATGTAGCTGGATGTGCTTTAAGGTGCTAGAAGTGAAGAAACACATCAAAATATCAACTATTGTACGACACAATCCCTGAAAAAAAACACAAAGGACTTCATCCTAGGGCTGGGCGATAATTCAATAACGATATATATCGATCGATAGACGTGTGGCGCAATAGAAAAAAAGAGGGTCGATAAAAGTTCAATAAAAAAGAAACGCTGTTTTCCTTCCTTCTCATTGTAGCCTAGCATGTAGGTTTATGCTAGTCACTGCTTCCTCCCAACCAATCACAATCGCGGACCCAGGCATGCCGTCACCAAGCGCCGCCCTCTCAAACCACAACACAGAGCACATGAAGATGCAGCAAGGAGAGGCAGAGGAAATTGTTTCAAAGAAGGGTTTTTGTAGTTCGGCAGTCTGGCAGTATTTCGGTCATGGCAAGTCGGACCAAAAACAAACCACAGTCATCTGTAAATTGTGTAGGGAACCAGTGAAAACGAAGTCTGATAACAAAACCAACTTTTTTTTTTTTTTATCATCTCAGCCGCTCACACCCGCAGGAGTACGAGCTGTGGAGGCCCCGACGCGGCTCTCCTCCGAGGAATCATCGGGGAAAATATATATATATATATATATATATATATATATATATTCAGTTCTGGGCAGTTTCCCACGTAGTTCTAACAATTGAGATAAAAATGCTGAGGGGCCAGAAACTTCAAAGTAATAACTCAGGTTAAAGCAGGAAACGGGGGCGGCGGCGGCGGGGGGGGATTTATTTATTTCTTATATTTATTTTGGTCACTTTTCTGGTCACTTTAGTTTATTCTTTGGCAGTATTTAATAACATAACTCAGGTATCTTAAGTTGTTTTTCTTTAAAACAATTCTGTTATAGTTAAAAAAGTTGGTTAAATAAAGATTTAATTCGAAGTCTGTGTTTGTGTTTTTTATTAAAATTAAATCATTTAGCAATATTATAAAAAGTCCAGGCAGAGCTGCACATAAAATATGGTTTCAAATCTTTTCAATAATTATCGATATCGATCAATATGCATTTTTTTTTTTATCGATAAGCTTTTTTTCTATATCGCCCAGCCCTACTTCATCCTTCCATTAGGATGAGACCCAACACATACATTCACTTATTTAGATTCATTTCAGTTAATAAAAAATAAATAAAGTAAGCAATTCTGTATACTTTTGGGAGTAGTTTCACTTTAGGATATTTTACTTCATTAATACTCTTGTTAGAGTATTGCTACTACTGTTAAATGAGTTTGGTTTCTAGTTTCTCTACCGATCACGAGAAACCAGAACCATTCCAGCTGATATCAGAGCCAGAAGTCTTTTTTTTTTTTAATAGAATATGAGCATAAAATACTGTTCCAATTGGTTTTATAAGTTTATGTAAAAAAAAAAAAAAAAGATTTGGAAATGTGTTTCTTTGACTTTTTTTTTTTTATTCTGTCATCATGTTGTTTAGTTTTATTTTATTTATTCTTTTTTACAACTTGGAATAGCAAAATATGCACACAGATTTCCAGTGATGGGACTAACGGCGTTGAAAGTAACGGCGTTACTAACGCCGCTACCTTTTTTCATTAACGAGTAATCAAAATGATTACTCTTACTGTAACTATAACGCAGTTGCAATTGCCGGCACCCCGTTACTGCGTGTTAGTCAGGTCGCACAATTAACCTTTTTTCATGATAGGACTCGTGCGCGCGTCATGAGAGAGGGGAGGATGGAGAGTGAGGAGGACTCCAGCGGCAAAACAGCGCTTTCCAGATGGAAATACTGGTGTTACGTCGAGCAGTTACTTTTTGGGAGAAGTAACTAGTAACTATAACTAATTACTTTTTCAAAGTAACGTGCTCAACACTGCAGATTTCTGTCTGGTTTTAAACATTAAATCAGATATATGGAGGTAACAGTTTCAGCTATTTGATCAAACAAGTTTTTACTGCTTGGATGACTTTTTTTTTTTTGCTCTAATTGTTTTGTAAAAAAAACAAAATAAGAAGTTAAAATTAACTTTAACTCTTCCCGCCTCTGTTTGACACATACTGTACCCCTAAAGGTAAATGCAAATGATATTTGGCACTAAATAGTATCAATACACGACGTCAAAATACAGACATGACATTTGTCAGATTGGTTTTAATACGAGATAAAATTATGAATTATTTTTGTTTTACTTCACATTCATGAGCTACAACATACAAAATCCCATTAAAGGTGACACAATGTGGAAAGGTTTAACAGGCTTGAATACTTTATGCTTCTGTGCGGCTCTCTATAATCTATGGATAATAAAGCAAAAGGGGAGTGGGGAAAAAAATGCTTGGCAAAGGATACTATGACAGCCGACTGGCAGCGGCGGTCGACACTTCTGCTGACACCAGCTGCTTGTACGGAGGGGCTGCTAAATCACTGAAATTTGTGGCGCTGGTGTTCCTGGGAAGAGACGGCGTTAAAGCAGCGACACAACCCTGTGCTGAGGCCTCGGCCGTCCGAATGACTGCAGCGTTTCGATCTGGTGTCAAACAAAATACAGCAGCTAATAATCAGTGCTTCTCTGAGATGTCAGAGACTTCTACCCCCCTGCCAGAGAAATCTCTCTTGTGTAAGTAATAAGTGTTTTTCACCAGTGCTGCATATTGGTGTCAGACGTTCAACCATTCTAAAAAAGGTCTATCATTAACCTTGGATGGCCTTATTAGGTTACTGCCTGAAGCCAAGAATCTAAGTCAATTAGTAAATTTGCAGCACTACAAGAGCAGAAAAAATGAACATCGGTAGCCTTGTCTTCCGAAATGGGGCAATTGCTTCCCCCTTAAAAGGTGATCAAAGCTGTGCAGACGTGTCATAAATAGGGAGGTTTTCATGGAGCTAAACTGGAGAGAAAAATAATAATAATAAAAAGTGGAAAAAAATATATTGTTATGTTATCCTTCTAACGCACAGGGATGAAATAAATTAAAAGTTTTGGAAAAATGCATCAACTGTGTGTAAATCCTATCCTATCCTATCTAATCGAAGTTAGAGGGAAGCCCCAAAGGAACCGTTAAAAAGAAGCTCCAGCAAAATACTTTTCCCTCTGATTTCTGTCCCACTGATTACTGCTGATGTTTATTTAAAATCTGTGTCTGTGCGCATATGTATGGAAACGGCTCCGCTGTGCCCTTTAGGAAGAGATATTACTTAATTTAAATGTTTCATGGCTTTTAAATACTTGAGATTATTAATTTATCTTTAAGGCCTTAGAATCTACGCTAGCATTTAGTTTGAACAGCGCTGGCAATGCAAATCGGCCCCCTCAAAATAATTACGCTGTCATGGTGGGTTTTCCACAAATTACATTAAGAGAATAGATTCATCCCTTTTTCTTGGGGGCGATGAAATTAATCAAATGTTTAACATCAGAGCAGAAAATGTCTCTGTAGTGGAGAATATTTCCAAATTAACAAATTCCTCCGTTTGTCTTGGAGTGGTCAAGTTCAGTGAGATCAAACTAGATGGTATCAGGCCTTAATTAGACAATTAGATGAAGAGGATTACAGTAGGTTGATGATAATGTTCAATGGATGTCAATGTGGTTTGCCTCTTAAAAATAAGGGAATGAGAACATTTAGTAAAAAATAAAAACTACAGCTGCTCACTCGGCTAAATACGGGTTACAAATTAGAATGTAATTTAAAGTATGTAAAGTTTATACCACAGTTGCTCACCTTAGTCTCATGCAGGGTTGCAGAAAGATGACCACACTCTGCTGTTATTTTTTTAGTGTTTCACACTTAAAGTCTTTCTTGCACATTTATATTAAAGGAGGTAGATTACCTCCATGTGTGCATGGGAGGTAAACTAGGAAGTAGCATACTGCGGGTAAGCCAGTTAGCAACTCTAATAAACCCTCTAAAGTAAACATTTTAATTCATATCTTATGAAGTCCTGCAAGGATCAGCAAAGAGTGCAGTTTTTTAATGCATTTAGACGATGATAAAGTTCATACTGCAAGCTTTAATGCTCTTTTAGATTTTTGTTTTGCGTCATTTCACATTTCCAAATATATGCGACCTGAATGTGATCTCCTGTCTGAACTGCATTGACAGAACTTTAATGTAAAGTGGAGGATTTGCACATGAACAACCCCGTACCGGTTCCCAAGGGGGAACGCCTATTAAACGTGTGCGAGAGCATGCACAAGCACAATTGTCCTCGTGCATTCTCTGTTTAAAGTTGCTGTTTGCATCGTTGATAAAACCTTACTTTGCAACAGAAGATTTGCAATTTCTCCTCAAAAGGTCAGTCTCACCTCCTTGTTATGCCGAGAATTACCACCCCTGTCACACACTGCTGAGAAAATGGATTGAAATATGAAAGAAAAATATATTCTTAATGTTTTGT